GCCCCGCCAGCGCGGTGTAGACGAAGGTCATCACGGGGATCGAGAGCTGCGCCTGCGGGCCACCGTCGTGGGACCGTCGCGGACGTGTCATGGACGTGTCATGGACGTGTCTCTTGCCGGGTCGGGGACGGCAGGGCCGCACCACGGAGGCGAAGAAGGGGGTGGAGGGCGGAGGAGGGAGCAGGAGGGAGGAGGAGGGAGGAGGCGGAGGAGGGGGAGGAGGAGGAGGGGAGGGCGGAGGCGGGCGGAGGAGGCACAGCCGCACCACGGAGGCGAAGAAGGGGGTGGAGAGCTTGAAGCCCCAGATGAAGAGCACGGAGTTGAGGTAGTGGAACACGCCTACAGCGGGGGGCAGGCCGCGGACCAGTGCACGCGCGTGCCGCCTCGCGCGTCGCCGCTCGTCGGCAGGCGGAGCGGGCGGACGGCGCGCCGAGTTTAGCAATCGCGCGGTGGTCGCTCCTCCTCAGGGCAAAGATGCTGGACCCCTCGCGGCAGTAGCCGAGCGCCGCCATCAGCAGCGCGCCGATCAGCTGCCTGCACAGCGCGAACCCTCCCGGGTCGTGCCCGCCCTCACGCTGATACGACGTGCCCGTGACGCCGCCGACGCGCGGGAAGACGTGCGACGTGTGCCAGCTGCTGCTCACGTGCCGCTTCCCCAGCAGCAGGTAGCCCGCAACCAGCAGCGCCGCCACACCCATCGCAGCCGCGCCAGCCTTTGGTCGCAGCGGCTCGTCCGGGAAGGCCGCCGTCGGCGGCCGATGACCCGCGCTCGAACTCTTTTCGGCAGGGTTGGATTTGCCGGGCGAGAGGAGAGGCTGCTCTGATTTGTAACTCTCGAGGTCCGAGTCGCTCGGACTTCGCAGCGGCATCGAAGCGAGCAGCTCGCGTGTCTCCGCCCGCTCCAGAGCAACCGAGACGGCGGGCAAGGCGCCGGCCACAGGGCAAGAGCCTCTCTTGCTTTTTGGCGAAAAAGAGGCATTTTTTCGGTGCTGGTAGAGCTCTAGCCCCCCCAAAACAGGCGCGCGCAGCGCGCCCAAGGGCGCCGCAGGCGCCCCAAGCGGCGCGGAGCGCCGCCGCAGGCGGCGGACAGCAGGTGCGCGAAATTAAACGCCATTTTCGGTTCCGCGGTTTTGCCACTAACATCGACCCCGAAAAAGAGAACGGTCGCCCACTTGTGTCCCTGATCGTCTTTCCAAGATCCTCCTCGCGCAGGTGGGGACCCTGTCATCCTTCTCCCACCCCTTGTTTGGTGTGTCCGTTTTATTTATTTATTTATACGATTCACGCGACAGGCAAGGCGCGGGGAGAGAAGTGTTCGCGGGCGACGGCTTCCCGAGAAAGAATTTACGGTCATAATTTCCGACTTCGTGATTTTTCTGGTGTGGCGGCGTGCCGCCGCCTCCGAAACCCTGGGTTGCCTGTTTTCTTTCTTTCTTAATTTTCTGGTGAGATGCCTGCTCTGTTTTTATGAGTTTTCTGGTGCTTGGTGGACTGGGAAGACCCCAACTGAGTGAGACTCTCGTTCACAAACTGTGGGCGCGCCCGCAAGCTCTCTCTCGCGCGCGAGAGGGGTGGGGAGAGCTCGAGGGGAGAGAGTGCGCCGATGGCACGCGGGGCAACCGCCTGCCATGCGCACGAGAGACAGCGGCGAGCGCAGTTCGGTGTGGCCTCTCGCGTCTCGGGCCATAACACCGTGCGTGGATCCGGGACGGCTCTCTCATAGCAGCCCATAACATCTTATGGGTGTTATGGCAGTTATGGGGCCGGCCCCATAACAGCCATAACACCCATAACATGTTATGGGCTGCTATGCCCCGAGAGCCATAACACCATAACAAAACTGTGTCAGGGGTGCATTCTACCAGCTCACCTATTTTTTTTGCGAAACACAGTCCGACCAACGACTGGGACACCAACGCGGTATGGGTGGACGCATCGGAGCGGCCAAACACAGGCTACAGCCCCACACACGCGCGCGCCAGTACCGCACCACCCACGGAGATGAACCCACACTGGATTCAGTACTCTGGAGGTATGGTACTAGGCAACCCGCGCTCGGCGTCTCGTCCAACTACGCGGGCGGTACGCTCGGAGGCATTACGTCGGGCGCGCCCGTCTAAGGTAAGGCAAGGTAAACTTCTCCACACACGCGAGGTGGTGGGGCAAGGGGAGTGCCGCTGCTAGCAGCCAGGCCTGCCGCCACCAGTGCCGCTGCCAGACCCGCCGCCGCCACTGCCGCCGGGACCGCTGCCGCCAGTGCCGCCAGGCCCGGCGCCAGTGCCGACGGCAGCAGGCGACGCGGCACCGTGCATGCGCTGCACGGGGCGAGCACGATCGCGACGGATCGCGACATTCCCGACATCCGGTGCGAGGCGATCGACTGCCCGCGGTGCTTTGTGCGAGGCAGCACGAATCTTGTTTCGGAAACCCCTAGGGGGGACGGTTCGTTCATCTAAAACACACAACGGCCGACAGACACAGAGCACACATTCCACATACAGAGGCACAAAAAGGCACAAGACCTCGGCGCTCGGGCAAGAGCCAACTAGCGTGAAGCGCGAACACTCCCCCCCCCCTGGCCAAGGCTATGTCTACGCGTTCCTAGAGGTGAACGCTAGGGCGCCTAAGAAGTGCGAGGGCCTTGGGCAACTAGCGTGAACGCGAACGCTCCCTCCCGGCCAAGACTATCCATATCCATATCCAGCGCGTTCCTAAAGGTGAGCGCTAGGACTTGTGCTAACCAGCTCAGCCCGCCCGGCTTCCCTTGGTTGGACCACCATAGCAGTCCAGGGACCCAGGGAGCGGCAGCAGCGCATCATCATTGCATTTTCCGTTAGTTGCGGTTGCGCCGTCGACCCTGGGGTGTCGTACATGGGGCTCCATACCACTTAGCGCTACGGTCCGCGTAGGTGAGGCGAGGATGTCGTACAACATGGGCGACTATTGGCTCGACCTTCAGCAGTTCCGCATGTCGCAGCTAAGCGGAGCGTCAATGGTTGTGTGCGACTTGAGCCATAAGCCTATGCACGCAAAAGTGGGGAGGCATGTGAGTGCGCTGTTTGGCGTGCGTGCCAATGAAAGCTCGGACGGACCAAGATGGATCTGCTCGACGTTTGTGAGGTCGACGCTGAGGCGATCGACGCCGCGAGCACCAACCTGCGCGAGGGCACTGGTGAGCGAATGGGAGAGGCAGCATATTGGGGGTATGAGGTATGAATAGCGCTAGTTAGCGCTAACAACATGACCTCGAGCACGTACGAGGTGAAGAGGGCCGCAAAGTTGAACGGCCCTGCCGAATCGACGAAGACGGAGCGAATGTCGCCAGCCTCGAGGCTGCTCAAGTCCTGATCGGTGCAGTACTGGTAGCAAGGCTTGTTATCTTCCGCCGGCGGATCGCACGTCGGCCCGGTGACAACCCGATCAGGAGCGTAAAACACTGGCTGGGGTCGAATGGTCCGCAATTCCAAAACAACGTGAGCGAGGGGTCGTCCGTGACGCGGGCAAGGCTGCGCGAGACTCTCTGCGCGGTGCCGAGTGTGATGCCGTGTGTGATGAAGTCGTCACATTCTGCGATATACGCTGGCACGTTTTTCCAACGCTTAAAGAATTGTGCACGGTGCTAAGTGCATTGCCGTTCTTAACGGAGTCGCTTAGGCGGCTCCGGTGGTGTGCCTGTGATAGTGCGAGCACGCGCCAGTTCGCACCTGTGTCGAGCCTGTCAGCTGTGAGAGAGAGTTCTTTTGTTTAAATTTTCCGGGGTAAATTCTTTTTTTGCCGGGGGCGTACGCTCAAGCACTCGATCTTGCTAGCTCTCGCTCGCCTCAGCGCTCAGTCGGTCGGTCAGTCTAGTGGCTGAGTGATCTTGATTTCCGATCGGTGCCATGACCTCGCACACTCTACCCCGAGACTCGACGGCCTTCGACTTCATCGAGAGCCTCGGCGGGCGAGACCGCTACATCGAGCGCATGCGCGAGCACGGCCGCCGCCTGGCGCAGCTCAGAGAGGCGCAGCAGCGGCGCCCTTCACAGCTCACCACCACCAGAGATGTCGAAGGCCTTCGCCGGACGGCGCCCGCACCGCCGCCGCCGCGCTCGGGCGTCGACAACCAGTGGGCACCCGGCACGTCGCCGCAGGAACTATCCCGCCGGCTGTCGGAGAACCGGCAGCGGCGCGACGAGTCGCTGGAGGCGCACGCGAGACGGCGCATGCACATGGAGCGCCGCATCGCGAGGCAGGCGTCGCGCCTCTCGATGCAGCAGATGCGGCCGCCCTACCAGATGCGCGCCTCGGCGCCACTGCCGCCGGAGCTGGTTTGGAGGGAGGTTGCGGCGCGGCGGGCGCAGAGGACGGCGGAGCTTGCGAGGCGCGAGCCGCTGCTGCCCGACTCGCGCCGCGGGTCGGCGGCGGCGGGCGTCGCCCGGCGAGGGGTGGGCGGAGGGGCGGCTGCGAGGGCGGAGGAGGCAGCAAGCGGCGGCCGCGGCGCGCTGCTGCTCGAGACCCTGCTTCGGCAGATTGTCGAGCAGAGGCTCTTCCGCGAGGCCGAGCTCCGCCCCTTCCTCTCGCGGGCGGAGCGCGACTTGGCCGGCGTCGAGGACTCGGAGACTCTCGCCGACGTCCTCGCCGACGTGCGAGCCGCGTTCTTCCTGTGAGCGAGGCGGGGCCCCGGTGTGAGAGTGGGTCGCGTGTCGGCGCCTCTCCCCTGTACGGCTCAACCTACTACGTACTAGTGTCCACACTAGACCAGTAGCAGCGTACCACAGCTCAGGGATGCACTTCCACTTGAGGGGGTCTCGCCCTCCCCGCCCCCCCTGGCCCTGCCCCCTTGCAGCTTGCTTGCCCCCCCCACCACACTTTGATCTTTGACTTTGTCGTTTGTGGATTCGTGTGCGTGGTGTGCGTGGTCCGTGGAGTGTGCGGAGGGACGTTGTTACCTTACCTTTTAAACCTGTACCACAGCTCACAAATAAACAAACACGCGCGGGGACGAGGGAGCGTGTGTCGTTCTCGCGCGAGACGCCCAGCCCCACTCGACCCCGTCGCGCGGCGCACTCACCGGATTGCGGATACGGCTATCGACGACCGGGTGCTAGAGACCGAGCCGCACCGTGTGCGCGCGTGCGGTCTGTGGAACACTGGAACTGTGAAGTCGGAGTGGACGGCTCTGTCACGTGTCAGCTTTGTCACGAGAGTGTCGGTGTGCTTGCCCTCGCATCACGAGTAGAGGCGCTCTATCGCAGCGGCGTATTTCTCGACGGCGGCGGCGCGGCGGAGCTTGAGCGTCGGCGTCAGCTCGCCGCCGCGCTCCGAAAAGTCGCCCGGCAGCAAGACGAACTTTTGGATCTTCTGCGCGTTGGAGACGGCGTACGTTGCGTTGTACTCGTCGATCCCTCGCTGGATGTACCGCTGCCACGCCGCGCCGGCGCGCTGCGACTCGGCGACCGCCTCGGCGTCGGTGGCGGCGGAGGAGACCTCGAGGGCCTCGAGGGCGAGCGTGCCCGTGGAGAGGCCGGTCGCGAGGTCTAGCACTGTCTTGGCCGTGAGCAGCACCACGTTGTACTTCCGCTTGTCGCCGACGAGCATCGCGTTGGACAGGGCGGGGCAGAGCTCCTTGAGCCGCTCCTCGATCGGCACAGGGGCGATGTTCTCTCCTCCCGCCGTGATCAGCAGCTCCTTGATGCGGCCGGTGATGCGCAGCAGCCCGTCCTCGAAGGAGCCAACGTCGCCAGAGTGGAACCAGCCGTCCTGGTCGATCGCCTCCGCCGTCTTTGCCTCGTCGTTCATGTAGCCCATGCAGACATTCCGCCCCCGATAGATGATTTCACCCTCGCCGGGCTTGTCACGGCCCGGCTGGTGGTCGACCGACACCTCGACGCCGGGGATCGGGGCGCCGAGCGTGCCGAGGCGGTGCATCATCGGCGTGTTTAGCGTCGTCGGCCCGCTCGCTTCGGACGCGCCGAGCGTGTCGAGGATGTCGATGTCGAGGGAGGCAAAGTAGTCGAAGACGTCGCGCCCCATCGGCGCGGAGCCCGTGTAGTGGACGAGGCACTGGTCGAGCCCGATCGCGGCCTTGATGCGGTTCAGCACGACGTGGCGCGCGATCAGGAAGGGGAGCGAGCGCCTCGCTTCGCGCCCAACCTGCCGGTCCAGCGCCGCCGCGAGCGAGAGCCGCTTCGCCCAGTCGGAGACCGCCTTGATCGGCGCGGGCGTCTTCTTCCCCACCTGCTGGATCCCCTCCTTGATCTTCTCCCAGACGCGGGGCACGCCGACGAAGAGTGTCGGTCGCGCGGCGACGAGCGTACTCTTGAGGCTGCTGCTGCTCTTGAGCGCGTCGGGGCGCGCGAACCACGTCGTCATGTAGTGCCTGTTCACAGCTGCAGGTGTGAAGAGACGCTGTTCACGGCTGTGCGAACCACGTCTTCATGTAGTGCCTGGCGAGCAGGTCTGGCCCGTACCCTGCCCCGCAGGCGGTAACCACCATCGGCCCGATCAGGTCGAGGATCTGGCCGAGCACGTGCGAGAGCGGGAGGTACGAGACAATCTTGAGGTTCTCGGGCGGAGAGACTCCCGCCTTGACGCCCTCGGCAAAGATGGGCGACGAAGCGCTCAACGACGTCCAGATCATGTTGTCATTCGAGACCATGACTGCCTTCGGGTTGCCGGTAGTGCCAGACGTGTAGACAAGGGTCGCCACATGGCCCGGCCGCACCGCCTCGCTGCGCGCCTCGACCTCCGACAACGGCACGACGCCGCCGAGCGCAAGGAAGTCGGACCAGCTGTAGACCGGCAGCGGGCGGCCTCCCTCGCGGGGGAGCGACGCGCGCGCGGCGATCTCTTCTGGCGAGATGCCGCCCCCCCACACGACGAGGGCGAGGCAGTCGGGCACCTGCTCGCGGAAGCCGAGGTACTTGTCGACCTGCTGCAGGCCCTCGCAAAAGATGACGCGCGCGGACGAGTGGACCGCAATGTACTTGCACGCGTCGGGGCCGTTGGACGCGTAGACGCCCGCCGCGGCCCCGCCGGCGAGGAGGGTGCCCATCTCTGCGATGAACCACTCCGGCGAGTTGAAGCCGATGATGTTGACGCGGTCGTGCGCCTCCAGCCCGAGCGCCAGCAGCGACTGCGCCACTCTCTGGCTCTCGGCGTAGTACTCGGCCCACGAGTAGGTCACCCAGCCGCCGCCGTTGACGCCGTCCGCCTCCACGCGGAGGGCCGGCTTGTCTGGGAAGCGCGCGGTCGCCTGTTTGAAGAGCCTTGGCAGCGAGGTTGGCTCGAGCGCCGCCCACCCGCTCTTGGAGACGCGCACGATCTAGCGCGAGGGGCGGGGCTTGGGTAAGGTGGAGCGCTCGGCGGGCTCGCAGGGCAGAGAGGCTCGAGGGCGGCGCTGGAGGGCTCGTACCGCCTCGCCGGCCGGGTCCGTGGTGTAGAGTGGGCCAGTAGCTGCGCTGTAGTCGATGAGCTCGTCCGCCATCTGCGTGGGAACGTCGAGCGGCCGGATGCGGGTGGCGGACTCGTACAGCTCGAAGATCTTGACGAAGAGGATGAGAGCGACAAAGGCCAGCGGTGCGAGCACCAGCTTGGGCGTCGGCGACGCGGCCAGGAGGGCGGCCGCGAAGGCGGAGACGAGAACCGCCTGCTTGATGTTGGTGTCGGTTTTGCGCTCCTGTGAGCTCTGTGGCATCGTCATCGGCGAGGCACACGGACAGCGACTGGAGAGATGGCGACTGGCGTCCGGAGAGGCGTCGGCGATTGTCGCCCTTGAGGATGTGGCGCAGCTCTGTTTTCTTTTCTTTGCCTTAGGGCGGTGTTCTGACATTCCTACCTAAGCTAACCTAAGGGCCTGCCTCGACCCCCACTTTGTGTGTGTGTGTGCTCACTCACTCACTCACACACGACCCCCACTGCCGATGCATGCTTGTCCGATGCTTGATGTGCCTATCACAGTAGCCCGAGGACCGGGGGGGGGGGGGGGGCGGCCTTCCCCGCCCCCTCCCTCACCTGCCCCAAAAACAAAAACACCCCACCGGCCCACCCCCGCCTCCCCCCAGCCCCCACCCCGCGCCCAGCCCCGCGCTGCGCTTTTCGCGCATTTTGCAATCTCCATAGGCGAAGTCAACATCTATCTTGCGCCGCGGGGTTGACCGACAGCCGCGCCGCTCGAGCCTCCCGTGCCACGCGCGGCGACACGCACCCTGCGCGCCAGTCAGCGCACTGGTAGTACTGCACCAGCCAGCACAGCGTAGAGCAGTGCATTGGGGGTGATGTACTGGGCGCCAGCCAGCATGCCTCAGCACAGAGCGAGAGAGCATGCTGCGCACGCTGACGCAGCACCAGTTCGCCTCCAATCAGGCTCTCTCACACCACCTCCCCAGCCGTCACCACGAGCACCCGCAGCCTCAAAGAAAGAAAAAAGAAAGAAAACAGACAACCCAAGGGAGGGATGGGAGGACGGCACGCCGCCACCACACAGGGATTTTAAGGAGAGGTGTGTGGTGCACCCGCAGCCTCAAGTCCCGGTTTTTCCGCGCGCGGATTTCTTGCTTGCAGGCCTGGCGGGGGCCGGGGGGGGGGGGGGCGTTCTGTTCGCGCCGTCTTGGTCCGATTGCTCACGATTCGACCATGGCCAAGGGCCAGAAGCGCCACCGAATGGCCGACGAGCGCGACGGGAAGGTCGCCGTGCTCTGCTTCGCGTGCCGCCGCTCCACCGACACCACCAAGCAGGCCTCTCTCGCCGGCTTCTTTCGCAAGAGCACAGAGGCCGCGCCGCAGCAGCTGTCCGAGGACGCCCGGGCAGAGGACGCGCCCGCCGCCGCTGACGGCGGCGTCGGCGCGCTGCAGTGCAGCAGGTGCCGGCGCGTGATGGAGCAGAAGTTGCCCAACCGGAATGCCGACCCCTCCGCGCCGTCTGCGGCGGCGGGCTCCAAGTCGCGCGTGCTGCCGCAGATCGCGCGGCTCCGGCAGTACCAGCGGATTGCGTCCGAGCAGGGCATCCCGTTCTGCGTCGCTGAGCACCAGGCAACGGCGATGATGCGAGAGGCGTGCATTACTGCTGGCCCATCATCGCCTGGGCATTGTGGCCGCAGACGGCGCTCGCGGTGCGAATAGGCGTGCGCGCTCTGCGGCGCCGCTGCGCCCGAGGAGGGCCACGGGCTGACCAGGCTGCGCATCTGGCCCGAGGGGATGGCGCCGCCCTCCAAGGGCGGCTTCATGGGCCCGTTCCACGCCGACAACCTCGCGACTGCGTGCGGTGCCAGCTCACGCCAACTTGTGTTCGTGGGGCGGCGTCCGAACACGTCCACCACACACGCTTGGGACACGCCTCGACTAGGCACCTGCAACCTCATGAAGGGGGCCAGGCGGATCCGCGGCTATGTCGAGGCTTGCCGCCACATCGCGACGCACCGCGGCGGGCACGACTACGGCCGGTACCCGCACCGTTTTCGCAACAATACCTCGAAGCGCTCTCGCTCGAGCTACGTGACGGCCTCGTCCACCCACTCCAAGACGCATGCCCTCTCCAACGAGTCGTTCAACGCCATCACGGCCCGCCCCTGCCACTATTGTGGCAAGGAGAGCGACCCGCCCCGACACCACAACGGTCTCGATCGGCTCGACTCCTCGCTGCGCGTGTACACCGAAGAGAGCGTCGTCTCGTGCTGCGGCGACTGCAACGTGATGAAGTACACCTACTCCGAGGCCGACTTCCTCGCGCACGTCCAGCGCGTCGCCGACGCGAACACCGGCCAGGTGAGCTTCGTCGGCGACGTCGAGGGCGAGGAGGCGGACGCGGACGACCCGGCGCCATCGCGCTGGGCCTTTGAGCGCGGGGAGGGGGCGGGGGGCGGGGGCGAGGGGGA